GGGTGGGAGGGGTGGGGAGGTGGGAGGAGGTGGGGAGGAGGAGGGGTGGGAGGGGAGGGGGGTGGGGAGGTGGAGGAGGACGGGAGGTAGAGGGGTGGGAGGTGGAGGAGGGTGGGAGGTAGGAGGAAGGGGAGGTAGAGGAGGGAGGGGAGATGGGGGGAGGGGAGGAGGATGGGAGGTGGAGGAGGGGTGGGGGAGAGGAGGGAGGGGAGGGGGTAGAGGAGGGGTGGGAGGTGGAGGAGGTGGGAGGGAGGAGGTGGGGAGGTAGGAGAGGATGGGAGGTAGAGGGGTGGGAGGTGGGGGAGGTGGGAGGTAGAGGAGGGCGGGAGGTAGAGATAGGGGAGGGAGGAGGAGGAGAGGGAGGGAGGAGGGGGAGAGGAGGAGGGGAGTGGAGGAGGACGGGAGGTAGAGGAGGACGGGAGGTAGAGGAGGCGGGAGGTAGAGGTGGGTGGAGGTAGAGATGGGGAGGTGGAGGAGGACGAGGTAGAGGAGGTGGAGAGGGAGGGAGGAGGGTGGGAGGGGAGGAGGTGGGGAGGTAGAGGAGGAGGTGGGAGGGGTGGGGAGGTGGAGGAGGAGGAGGGGAGGAGGAGAGGAGGGAGGTAGAGGGGGTGGGAGGTAGAAAGGGTGGGAGGGGAGGAGGACGGGAGGTAGAGGAGGGTGGAGGTAGAGGAGGGGGGGGAGGTAGAGGTGGGGGAGGAGGAGGATGGGAGGTAGAGGAGACGGGAGGCAGAGAGATGGGAGGTAGAGGAGGCGGGAGGTAGAGGGTGGGAGGGAGGGAGGACGGGAGGTAGAGGAGGATGGGAGGAGGGAGGGGTGGGAGGGGAGGTGGGGGAGGTGGAGGAGGATGGAGAGGGAGGGGAGGAGGAGGTGGGAGGTAGAGGAGGACGGGAGGTAGAGAGGTGGGAGAGGAGGGGAGGGGAGGAGGGTGGGAGGAGGAGGGCGGGAGGTAGAGGTGGGAGGAGAGGAGGGAGGAGAGGAGGACGGGAGGAGGAGGCGGAGGAGGTGGGTGGAGGAGACGGAGTGAGAGGAAGGGGGGGAGGTGGAGGAGGAGGCAGAGGAGGGAGGTAGAGGGGTGGGAAGAGGACGGGAGGAGAGGAGGACGGGAGGTAGAGGAGGAGGTAGAGGTGGAGTGGAGGTAAGGGAGGTAGAGGGGTGGGAGGCAGAGAGGGGGGAGGAGGAGGGAGGTAGAGGAGGGCGGGAGGTAGAGGGGTGGAGGTAGAGGTGGGGGGGAGAGAGGGGTGGGAGGAGAGGGGAGGCAGAGGAGGAGGGAGGTAGAGGAGGGAGGTAGAGGTGGGTGGAGGGGAGAGGGTGGAGGGAGGAGGGAAGGGAGGGGGAGGTGGGAGGAGAGGGTGGGAGGAAGAGGAGGGCGGGAGGTAGAGGGGTGGGAGGAGGAGGACGGAGGTAAGAGGAGGACGGGAGGTAGAGGAGGCGGGAGGTAGAGGAGGGTGGAGGTAGAGGTGTGGAGGCAGAGGAGGACGGGAGGAGGGAGGGAGGGAGGTAGAGATGGGTGGGAGGAGGAGGGCGGGAGGTAGAGGAGGGTGAGGTAGAGGAGGGGAGGGGGGAGGAGGAGGGATAGAGGAGGACGGGAGGTGGGAGGAGGTGGGAGGGGGAGGTAGAGAGGGGTGGGGAGGAGGAGGGTGAGGTGGGGAGGTGGGTGGGGAGGTGGAGGAGACGGGAGGTAGAGGAGGAGGGGGAGGGAGGACGGGGAGGAGGGAGTAGAGGAGGGCGGGAGGTAGAGGGTGGGAGGTAGAGAGGATGGGAGGTAGAGGAGGGCGGGAGGTGGAGGTGGGAGGTAGAAATGGGTGGGAGGGGAGGAGGACGGGAGGTGGAGGAGGGGTGGGGAGGTGGAGGAGGGTGGGAGGTAGAGGAGGAGGAGGTAGAGATGGGCGGAGGTGGAGGAGGGCGGGAGGTAGAGATGGCGGGAGGTGGAGGAGGACGGGAGGTAGAGGTGGGTGGGGGTGGAGGAGGACGGGAGGTAGAGGAGGGCGGAGGTAGAGATGGGGGAGGAGGGTGGAGGTAGAGGAGGCGGAGGAGGTGAGGGCGGGAGGTGGAGGAGGGTGGGAGGTAGAGGAGGGCGGGAGGTAGAGATGGGGGAGGTGGAGGAGGGACGGGAGGTAGAGGAGGGTGGAGGGAGGAGGGTGGGAGGTGGGAGGAGGTGGGAGGTGAGGGGAGGGCGGGAGGCAGAGGGAGGCGGGAGGTAGAGGGGTGGGTGGGAGGTAGAGGGGAGACGGGAGGTAGAGGTGGGGCGGGGAGGTAGAGGAGGTAGAGAGGTGGGAGGGGGGGTGGAGGAGGACGGGAGGTAGAGGAGGACGGGAGGTAGAGGTGGGGAGGTAGAGGAGAGGGGAGGAGAGGGGCGGGAGGTAGAGGAGGACGGGAGGGGAGATGGTGGGGAGGTGGAGGAGGACGGGAGGTAGAGGAGGACGGAGGTAGAGGAGGGCGGGAGGTAGAGGAGACGGGAGGTAGAGAGGGCGGGAGGTAGAGGAGGGCGGGAGGTGGGAGGAGGGACGGGAGGTAGAGATGGGCGGGAGGTAGGAGGAGGGCGGGAGGTGGAGGAGGGACGAAGGTGGAGGAGGACGGAGGTAGAGGAGGGCGGGAGGTAGAGAGATGGGCGGGAGGTAGAGGAGGGGGGAGGTAGAGGAGGACGGGAGGAGAGAGATGGGCGGGAGGTAGAGGAGGACGGGAGGTAGAGGAGGACGGGAGGTAGAGATGGGCGGGGAGGTAGAGATGGGCGGGAGGTAGAGGAGGACGGGTAGAGATGGGAGGGGTAGAGGAGGGCGGGAGGGGGAGGAGGGACGGGAGGTGGAGGAGACGGGAGGTAGAGGAGACGGAGGTAGAGATGGGCGGGAGGTAGAGACGAGGGAGGTAGAGGAGGACGGGAGGTAGAGATGGGGGTAGAGGAGGGTGGAGGTAGAGGAGGACGGGAGGTAGAGGAGGGTGGGAGGTGGAGGAGACGGGAGGTGGGAGAGATGGGCGGGAGGTAGAGAGGCGGGAGGTGAGAGGACGGAGGAGAGGGCGGGAGGTAGAGGAGGGCGGGAGGTGGAGGAGGACGGGAGGTAGAGGAGGACGGGAGGTAGAGGAGGCGGAGGAGAGAGGGCGGGAGGCAGAGGGAGGGCGGGAGGTGGAGGAGGGACGGGAGGTAGAGATGGCGGAGGTAGAGGAGGACGGGAGGTAGAGAGAGGGCGGGAGGTGAGGAGGGGGGGAGGTAGAGGAGGACGGGAGGTAGAGATGGGAGGGGAGGAGGAGGAGGACGGGAGGTAGAGATGGGCGGGAGGTAGAGATGGGCGGGAGGTAAGATGGGGCGGGAGGTAGAGGAGGGCGGGAGGTGGAGGAGGGAGGGAGGTAGAGGAGGACGGGAGGTAGAGATGGGCGGGAGGTAGAGGAGGGCGGGAGGTAGAGGAGGGCGGGAGGGGCAGAGGAGGGGAGTAGAGGAGGACGGGAGGTAGAGGAGGGCGGGAGGCAGGAGATGAGGGGAGAGAGGAGGGAGGGAGGTGGAGGAGACGGGAGGTAGAGATGAGGGGAGGTAGAGGAGGGCGGGAGGTAGAGGAGGGCGGGAGGTAGAGGGAGGACGGGAGGCAGAGATGGGCGGGAGGTAGAGAGGGCGGGAGGTAGAGGGAGGGCGGGAGGTGGAGGAGGACGGGAGGTAGAGGGGGGAGGTAGAGATGGAAGTGGAGGCAGAGGAGGGCGGGGAGGTGGAGGAGGACGGGAGGTAGAGATGGCGGGAGGGAGGAGGAAGGGGAGGTAGAGGAGGACGGGAGGTAGAGATGGGCAGGGAGGTGGAGGAGGACGGAGTAGAGATGGGTGGGAGGTAGAGATGGGCGGGAGGTAGAGATGGGTGGGAGGTAGGAGGGCGGGAGGTGGAGGGAGGGCGTGGGAGGTAGAGGAGGACGGGAGGCAGAGATGGGCGGGAGGTAGAGGAGGGGCGGGAGGTAGAGGAGGACGGGAGGTAGAGGAGGCGGAGGTAGAGATGGGCGGGAGGTAGAGGAGGGTGAGGGGAGGGGAGGACGGGAGGTAGAGATGAGGGGAGGTGGAGGAGGACGGGAGGTAGAGATGGGTGGGAGGTAGAGGAGGGCGGGAGGTAGGAGGAGGACGGGAGGTAGAGAGGGGGGAGGTAGAGGAGGGTGGGAGGTGGAGGAGGACGGAGGTAGAGATGGGCGGGAGGTAGAGGAGGGCGGGAGGTAGAGGAGGACGGGAGGTAGAGATGGGCGGAGGTGGAGGAGGACGGGAGGTAGAGATGGGCGGAGGTAGAGAGGGCGGGAGGTAGAGGAGGGCGGAGGTGGAGGAGGAGGAGGTAGAGGAGGACGGGAGGTAGAGATGGGCGGGAGGTAGAGGAGGGCGGGAGGTAGAGGAGACGGGGGAGGTAGAGATGGTGGGAGGTGGGAGGAGGACGGGAGGTAGAGATGTGGAAGGGTGGAGAGACGGAGGTAGAGATGGGTGGGAGGTAGAGGAGGGAGGGAGGTAGAGGAGGGCGGGAGGTAGAGGAGACGGGAGGTAGAGAGGGCGGGAGGTGGAGAAGGGCGGGAGGTAGAGGGAGGGGTGGAGGTGGAGGAGGACGGGAGGTAGAGATGGCGGGAGGTAGAGGAGGGCGGCGGGAGGTAGAGGAGACGGGAGGTAGAAGGCGGGGAGGTGAGGAGGACGGGAGGTAGAGATGGGCGGAGGTAGAGATGGGCGGAGGTAGAGATGGGAGGAGGTAGAGGAGGGCGGGAGGTGGAGGAGGGTGGGAGGTAGAGGAGGACGGGAGGTAGAGATGGCGGGAGGTAGAGGAGGGCGGGAGGTAGAGGAGAGGACGGGAGGTAGAGAGGCGGGAGGTAGAGACGAGGGAGGTAGAGGAGGGCGGGAGGTGGAGGAGGAGGAGGTAGAGATGGGCGGGAGGTAGAGGGAGGCGGGAGGTGGAGAGGACGGGAGGTAGAGATGGAGTGGTAGGTAGAGGAGGGCGGGGAGGTAGAGGAGGACGGGAGGTAGAGATGGAGGGAGGTAGAGGAGGGAGGGAGGTGGAGGGAGGACGGGAGGTAGAGATGGGTGGAGGTAGAGGAGGGCGGGAGGTAGAGGAGGACGGGAGGTAGAGAGGGTGGGAGGTGGAGGAGGACGGGAGGTAGAGGAGGGCGGAGGAGGGGAGGTGGGGAGGTAGAGGAGGGCGGGAGGTAGAGGAGGACGGGAGGTAGGAGGTGGTGGGGAGGTGAAGGAGGGTGGGAGGAAAGGTGAGAAGAAGCTACAGGTGATATATATATATATAGGTCGGGAGGAAGATGATGTTGTCTTACAGGTATGAGAATTATTAAGCTGGTGACATTACCGGAGTTAAGGTTTACACAAGCAACCAGACAGACGGAAAGATAAACAGACAGACAAGAGACAGTCAGACAGGCAGATAAGAGACATTCAGTTCAATAAAGAGAGAGGGTTTTTTTCATCAGTAACAGGCAGGACAGGGAAAGCTATTTTCAGCATTTATGAACAAGATATTGTGGGTTATACTTCACTTTATCTTTCCCTTTGTAATATTCATACGAGAAGTGGACCCAATATACCACACGACCCGAAAGAATGAATTTTTGTTAAGTTGCAAAAAAAAAAACTTTGAGTTACTGATTGGAAAATAAAAACATCATATTTTTTTAGTTTATTGATTAATAAATGTAAATAAAAACCCTAGACTCAAAATTTCCAACTTGTGTGTTTTTTTATTTTAGTTTTCATTCTAAGATTTTTTTTTATCACACACACACACACACACACACACACCACACACCCACCCACACACACACACACACACACACAGGTGAGTTCGAGGTGAGCAGAAGGTTGACTCACCTGAGGAGAACCAGCCAAACTCAGCTGGTTGTGGCAGTCAGCGTCGAAGAGCGTCACGTTGACTGACTTGTGGTAGACTGAGGACACCGTCACCTGACAGCCCAGCGTCACGGCCCTCAGCCAGCCACTCCTCCGTCACTGTCACCCGCAGCTCCTGTGACGGGAAGGAGGTGAGTAACATAGTCCACCTCCCGTCACCGTCACATACAGCTTAACATAACATAACATAACATAACAACATAACATAACGTTAAATAGAAAAAGCAATGAAAATAATGTGAGATAAAACAGAGGCAGTGATTAAAATAGAGAATGTGATTAGAGTAAGTAATAATAGCATAGCGAAAAATTAATCAGACTTAATATTGTGATTAGAAAGAGATAAGGAAGAAATATGATACGTGACTGAAGGAAACCAACATAAATTATGACTTAAAAGAGACATGGAGAACTTATGACTTAGAGACCCCAATCAGTCATGACTTATAGAGAGACTTGGATGACTTATTGACTTAACAGAGACGACGAACATGACTTACGGAGACTTGTAGTGGTCGTCCTCGCTGGTCCCGCCCGAGGGAGCGAGGCAGGTGGGCGAAGGTGGGCGCCGCCTCTGAGTTGACGGTCCAGCTGATCTCCGCCGGGGGTCAGAGTCACCAACCTGACAGCGGGCCACCAGATGTTCCCCGGGCCGGACCTTGTCTCCCTGGGCCACACCTCTGGTCCAACGGCACGTCTGGAGGAAGGGTGAGGAGGATGGGAGGAAGAGGGAGGAGAGAGGGAAGGGAAAGGGAGGAAGGAAGGGAGGGGAAGGAGGGTATGAGGAAGAAAAGAAGGATAGGGAGGGGAAGGAGGTAAAGAAGGGGAGGGGAGGAAAGGAGGAAGAGAACGGCAAGTAGGAAGGAAGAAAAAGAGAATGGTGAAAGACTATTAATATTAGTAATATCAACAACAACAACAACAATTATAATATAATAATAAGCGCACTAATTAAATATATACCTCAAAATCATAATTCCCCTAAAATATACATTATATGTAATACTCAGTACATAAAACACTAAGAGTATTACGTCCAAAAAAAAAACAGGTGACCCATAAATTAGAGAGGAGACGACCCCAGAGAGCAGTTAACGTGATAGAGTGTAGGATGGTCGTGTTAGGTGCAGACGTATTGTGTAAGTAGGGAGTAAATTTTTTTTGTTACCTCTAATAACAGGTAATAGGCCAGTAAAATATTCTTGATTATATAGAGAAAAACGATGACTGGTTATAGAGCTTTGGAGAGAGAGAGATTGAAACAGATTACTTAGCCAGAAAAACATGAGAGTGGAAAATAACAATAACAATTAAGGTGTTATGTTGTTATTACTGCCTCTATAACAATTAAGGTGTTATGTTGTTATTACTGTCTCTATAACAATTAAGGTGTTATGTTGTTATTACTGTCTCTATAACAATTAAGGTGTTATGTTGTTATTAATGCCTCATAACAATTAAGGTGTTATGTTGTTGGTTACTGCCTCTATAACAATTAAGGTGTTATGTTGTTACTGCCTCTATAACAATTAAGGTGTTATGGTTGTTATTACTTGCCTCTATAACAATTAAGGTGTTATACATGTTACTGCCTCTATAACAATTAAGGTGTTATGTTGTTATTACTGCCTCTATAACAATTAAGGTGTTATGTTGTTATTACTGGCCTCATAACAATTAAGGTGTTATGTTGTTATTACTGCTCTATAACAATTAAGGTGTTATGTTGTTATTACTGTCTCTATAACAATTAAGGTGTTATGTTGTTATTACTGCCTCTATAACAATTAAGGTGTTATGTTGTTATTACTGCATCTATAACAATTAAGGTGTTATGTTGTTATTATTGCCTCTATAACAATTAAGGTGTTATGTTGTTATTACTGTCTCTATAACAATTAAGGTGTTATGTTGTTATTACTGTCTCTATAACAATTAAGGTGTTATGTTGTTATTACTGCCTCTATAACAATTAAGGTGTTATGTTGTTATTACTGCCTCTATAACAATGAAGGTGTTACGTTGTTATTACTGTCTCTATAACAATTAAGGCGTTATGTTGTTATTACTGCCTCTATCACAATTAAGGTATTATGTTGTTATTACTGCCTCTATAACAATTAAGGTGTTATGTTGTTATTACTGCCTCTATCACAATTAAGGTGTTATGTTGTTATTACTGCCTCTATAACAATTAAGGTGTTATGTTGTTATTACTGTCTCTATAACAATTAAGGTGTTATGTTGTTATTACTGCCTCTATAACAATTAAGGTGTTATGTTGTTATTACTGCCTCTATAACAATTAAGGTGTTATGTTGTTATTACTGTCTCTATAACAATTAAGGTGTTATGTTGTTATTACTGCATCTATAACAATTAAGGTGTTATGTTGTTATTACTGCCTCTATAACAATTAAGGTGTTATGTTGTTATTACTGCCTCTATAACAATTAAGGTGTTATGTTGTTATTACTGTTTCTATAACAATTAAGGTGTTATGTTGTTATTACTGCCTCTATAACAATTAAGGTGTTATGTTGATATTACTGCCTCTATAACAATTAAGGTGTTATGTTGTTATTACTGCCTCTATAACAATTAAGGTGTTATGTTGTTATTACTGCCTCTATAACAATTAAGGTGTTATGTTGTTATTACTGTGTCTATAACAATTAAGGTGTTATGTTGTTATTACTGTCTCTATAACAATTAAGGTGTTATGGTGTTATTACTGTCTCTATAACAATTAAGGTGTTATGTTGTTATTACTGCCTCTATAACAATTAAGGTGTTATGTTGTTATTACTGCCTCTATAACAATTATGGTGTTATGTTGTTATTACTGCCTCTATAACAATTATGGTGTTATGTTGTTATTAGTGTCTCTATAACAATTAAGGTGTTATGTTGTTATTACTGCCTCTATAACAATTATGGTGTTATGTTGTTATTACTGCCTCTATAACAATTAAGGTGTTATGTTGTTATTACTGCCTCTATAACAATTAAGGTGTTATGTTGTTATTACTGCATCTATAACAATTAAGGTGTTATGTTGTTATTACTGTCTCTATAACAATTAAGGTGTTATGTTGTTATTACTGTCTCTATAACAATTAAGGTGTTGTGTTGTTATTAATACTGTCTCTATAACAATTAAGGTGTTTTGTTGTTATTACTGCCTCTATAATTAAGGTGTTATGTTGTTATTACTGCCTCTATAACAATTAAGGTGTTATGTTGTTATTTACTGTCTCTATAACAATTAAGGTGTTATGTTGTTATTAATGCCTCTATAACAATTAAGGTGTTATGTTGTTATTACTGCCTCTATAACAATTAAGGTGTTATGTTGTTATTATTGTCTCTATAACAATTAAGGTGTTATGTTGTTATTACTGCCTCTATAACAATTAAGGTGTTATGTTGTTATTACTGTGTCTATAACAATTAAGGTGTTATGTTGTTATTACTGTCTCTATAACAATTAAGGTGTTATGTTGTTATTACTGTGTCTATAACAATTAAGGTGTTATGTTGTTATTACTGTCTCTATAACAATTAAGGTGTTTTGTTGTTATTACTGTCTCTATAACAATTAAGGTGTTATGTTGTTATTACTGTCTCTATAACAATTAAGGTGTTATGTTGTTATTACTGCCTCTATAACAATTAAGGTGTTATGTTGTTATTACTGTCTCTATAACAATTAAGGTGTTATGTTGTTATTACTGTGTCTATAACAATTAAGGTGTTATGTTGTTATTACTGTCTCTATAACAATTAAGGTGTTATGTTGTTATTCTGCCTCTATAACAATTAAGGTGTTATGTTGTTATTACTGTCTCTATAACAATTAAGGTGTTATGTTGTTATTACTGCCTCTATAACAATTAAGGTGTTATGTTGTTATTACTGTCTCTATAACAATTAAGGTGTTATGTTGTTATTACTGTCTCTATAACAATTAAGGTGTTATGTTGTTATTACTGTCTCTATAACAATTAAGGTGTTTATGTTGTTATTACTGCCTCTATAACAATTAAGGTGTTATGTTGTTATTACTGTGTCTATAACAATTAAGTTATGTTGTTATTACTGTCTCTATAACAATTAAGGTGTTATGTTGTTATTACTGCCTCTATAACAATTAAGGTGTTATTTTGTTATTACTGCCTCTATAACAATTAAGGTGTTATGGTGTTATTACTGCATCTATAACAATTAAGGTGTTATGTTGTTATTACTGCATCTATAACAATTAAGGTGTTATGTTGTTATTACTGCCTCTATAACAATTAAGGTGTTATGTTGTTATTACTGCCTCTATAACAATTATGGTGTTATGTTGTTATTACTGTGTCTATAACAATTAAGGTGTTATGCTGTTATTACTGCCTCTATAACAATTAAGGTGTTATGTTGTTATTACTGCCTCTATAACAATTAAGGTGTTATGGTGTTATTACTGCCTCTATAACAATTAAGGTGTTATGTTGTTATTACTGCCTCTATAACAATTAAGGTGTTATGTTGTTATTACTGCCTCTATAACAATTAAAGTGTTATGTTGTTATTACTGCTTCTATAACAATTAAAGTGTTATGTTGTTATTACTGCTTCTATAACAATTAAGGTGTTATGTTGTTATTACTGTTATTATTACTGCATCTATAACAATTAAGGTGTTATGGTGTTATTACTGCGTCTATAACAATTAAAGTGTTATGTTGTTATTACTGCCTCTATAACAATTAAGGTGTTATGGTGTTATTACTGCGTGTATAACAATTAAGGTGTTATGTTGTTATTACTGCCTCTATAACAATTAAGGTGTTATGTTGTTATTACTGTTATTATTACTGCATCTATAACAATTAAGGTGTTATGTTGTTATTACTGCCTCTATAACAATTAAGGTGTTATGTTGTTATTACTGCCTCTATAACAATTAAGGTGTTATGTTGTTATTACTGCCTCTATAACAATTAAGGTGTTATGGTGTTATTACTGCCTCTATAACAATTAAGGTGTTATGTTGTTATTACTGTCTCTATAACAATTAAGGTGTTATGTTGTTATTACTGCCTCTATAACAATTAAGGTGTTATGTTATTATTGCCTCTATAACAATTAAGGTGTTATGTTGTTATTACTGTCTCTATAACAATTAAGGTGTTACGTTGTTATTACTGCCTCTATAACAATTAAGGTGTTTAAGCGTTACAGGGTTTAGGGTCTATCATTGTAAGTTAAAGAAGTTATTTAGTCTGTTATATGTTCATTCTTTATCTGTTATCCCATCTATCTTGTTTTGTCGTATTATTTGTATATTTATTAGACATAAGTGTTATTAGTCATTGATTCACAAGATGTCTGCAGTGTTGTAGTGAATGTATGTCTTAATCATTGGCCGATAACACATTCCATTATTTTACATAATTAAGCTGACACGGCTGACGGGATGTGCCGGTTATGTAAAAAGAACTTGGGACGTAATTACTTTTGGCACCTCAGTGAGTGTGTGTATTGTGTGGACTGTACGACACACACACACACACACACGCACGCGCATACACACACACACACACACACACACACACACACACACACACAGACACACACACACACACACACACAGACACACACACACACACACACACACACACACACACACACACACACACACACACACACACACACACACACACACACACACACACACACACACACACACACACACACACACACACACACACCAGCTCTTCTGTGTTGGGGACAGTTTGGACGTACACAACACTGGATCGCGAGCATTAAGGGTGTTTAAAGGGACTTAACACAGCCTGGTCCTTGGCCTTACCAACATGAGTGTAGATCAGTAGTTTGTGTACTTCTTTTATAAGGGAACAAGTAGACAGGTGTGTGTGTGTGTGTGTGTGTGTGTGTGTGTGTGTGTGTGTTGGTAAGAGGAGGAGGTATTGTGGAGAACTTGTATCTGATTTTTGTTTGTGTGTATCTTAATTACTACATAAGATGCAAGAAGCTTAGTAGTAGTAGTAGTAGTAATAGTAGTAGTAGTAGTAGTAGTAGTATAGTAGTAGTAGTAATATTGATATTGAAACAGTTCATTTACCCAGAAAAATACAGATACAGTGGATAATACTAACAATATTAACATGGCTGAGCCAGTTGAGAGCCTGAGCGTAGCTTGGTAGTAGTAACTCTTACCACGGTTGTCACTTGATTTATTTTATTTATTTTATTTACTTGTTTACATTATTATTATACTACGTGTATCAGCTCTCTCTCTCTCTCTCGCTCTCTCTCTCTCTCTCTCTCTCTCTCTCTCTCTCTCTCTCTCCCTCACCGTCAACTTACCCACCACCGTCATGTTTACAGTATGGTCGTCCGTCTCGAAGAAAGGTTTGTCGCCCATCACCTCACACCTGAAGCTGCCAGAGGTCTCCCTCGTCACCCCCGTCAGCCGCACCTTCTCCCGCGTGCTGTGGCTCTCCTGCGGCAGATAAATTAGCTTATTAATTCCCTGCGGCATTCATGAACAATATTTTAGTTACCTGCGGGAACCAATAGGAGTTTATTTCCTCGGTGCTCTAGTTAATTTGGCTAACTACTTCCATGACAGTTGACAGCAATCCTAGTTGATAATAACACAACATAAATTGACGTCCACTAGCTAGTCATAGCGGAAAATGATCAAAGTGTCTGATGAATATTTGGAAGAGACGATATATTTTAACACAAACATCAAGCGTCTGGACACATTAAACTGATTTGTACATTGCAGAATAATTTAGCGTTTTGGAACAGGGAATTATTGGTAGTTTTTTTTTTGTTTGAGGGGGAGGAGAGGGAGCTGGGGAAGTGAGAGGGGGTTTTAATAAGCCTTTTGAAACGGGGAAATATCTGCAGGCATTTTTCTATTTTCCATTTACCAGTTCATCAAGGGGTTTGAAACTAATGATTTTCCCTGGAACGTTTACAGCCTTACCCGGGCCACACACACACACACACACACACACACACACACACACACACACACACACACACACACACATATACGACGGCTGTAAATGTATAAATGCAAATGGTTCCCTCGTTTTGGGTGACCTGACAACCATCGTCTCCAAAAAATTGTCACAAAACCTTTGCCTGTTAGGGTGATACTCTTGAAACTTGGCGATGACTTTAACAATCCTGAAGTGGTGCCTTTATCCTTAAGTGTTCCATAAGGAGTGTGTTTATGGTGGTGTTTGTGCTCTCTCTCTCTCCACGAGACATTAGCCCCACCCCCCTTGTATTAGCCTCTGTCAATATACTGACACTAACAATTATATAAATGTGGGCTAAATACATATTCATATCGTATAATTTACATCACCCGACTTAATTAGATAATGGACACTGTAGTAATGGTCATCATCTGTCACGCATCAAATGACCTTCAGATGTTTTCCCCGCATTATAAGTCTAAAGTGACTAGTGTTCAGGTCAGTGGAAGACTGTATGTGAAACACGACGGACGTGTCATTAAAGGCTCTCGTAAAAGGACAAATCACACGGGGTATAGAAACACCTTTCACTGCCTGTACACAAAACATGGTACACACAATATATGGTACACACAATATATGGTACACACAATACATGGTACACACAATACATGGTACACAAAATACACGGTACACACAATACACGGTACACACAATACTCACGTCAACATTAATGTGAGGTACCGGGAACACCCTTATGGGAGGCTTCCTCTTGGGGATGTACTCGTAAAACTGGTTCACGTCCCGGTACCACTTGACCGAGTAGAGCGGGTCGGGTCTGTCGAGGCTGTGGTGATAATTACACTCTAACTCAACCGTTGTTCCCGACACTACTACAGGCGGTACTAACACTCCTGACACCCTTAGTGTACAACCTGCGGGTGAGAGATGGTGAGAGATGGTGAGTGAGAGATGGTGAGAGATAGTGAGAGATGGTGAGTGAGAGATGGTGAGAGATAGTGACTTCCGCAAGTGTCACTTAACACCCCCGGACACCGTAGTGTGTCATAAATAAAAACAATATAAATAAAAAGATGATATTAGCGAAGCGTCATCATACCAAAAGAATAAAATCATAAGGTCGTGCTGGGCAAATATTACCCATGTGACCATGAACTATACAACAAGTGGTTAAATACACGATATTGGTTCGCTATCATTCTGGTACAGGATTCACAAAGGCTCGTAAGATGAATACTTCTCATAGTGGCTGGATTCATAATAGATATTCCTCGTAAGATCCGATTCACTGAGATTCGTATACATAATTGTCGGATTCATATATACTCGCCTAATGAATCCTCACTTAACAGCCAGATTCACAAAGACTCATAACAAAACACTTAATTGCTTCACTCATATAACAAAATTACATCCAAAAATATAACTAATATTTTACTAAGACTCTAACTTAACTAGGAATCTTAATAACCATTTATATAACTGAGGCTTAATATTAATACCGAACTCTAAAGCAAAATTTAACCTCATTTTCATTTCCACGTATCTTGAATTGGATCCGATGATAGGTAGGTTTATATTGATTTTTGACACGTTAGCTCGGAGGCGGGAAGCTACTGTACGTATATGGCTGTCTCGCTCACTGTGTGGTAATATGTATTGGGTGGATGGATTACTGGCCCGGCTGTCACACCACCAAATGCACTGTTGTTACTCTAATATCCTTACAAATTTTGTATATGTATGAAACACAAATACACACACACAATATATAGAAATACATATACATGTAGGCTACACAAACGCGCCCGTACGTGCTGGACATATATGCAAATTCTCTTTTTTTTTAACTAAAAATGATTCGATTTTACACACATAGTTTTATGATGCAAATTGATTTATAATCTTCATGGACGAGTGTTTACAAGACCTGGACCCAGCGGTCTATCTCGTCACCAGCTCTTGTGCTGGCGCCCCGCCAGCTCACTGCTAACACACACACACACACACACACACAGAGTTTTACGCCGCGAGGAAATATTTATACACACAAAAACCCGCATGTGATACAAACAGATGCAGACAATAAAACTGATGAGACACAAGCTTCCTAAGAGGTAATGTCTTCAACATGACCCTATGCTTCTACCTTACGGTGAATAAAATACTCCAGAAGCAGGGTGACGAGGAGCAACACTTACCCTTGTTAGCGAGACCCAAGAACAGGAGGACTCTGAGGGCCACGACCGACCAGTGATCAACCACCATCCTGTAGGAGGCAGGGCAACTCCCTCTCGACCCTCGCCCACGCCCCCGCTGGTTGCCCATCAAGCCTCGTCCTCACCACCTGCAGGAGAGAGTCGGAGAAGAAGGGGGTGGGGGAATTAGAAGTGGTGTTAGTGTGTGAACCTATATGTAGGCTCTCTCTCTCTCTCTCTCTCTCTCTCTCTCTCTCTCTCTCTCTCTCTCTCTCATCTTTATCTCGTTTTGTTGCTGCCATAAAAGAAGAAGAAGAGGAAGAAGAAGAAGAATGAATCACAAGGTAAAATATCACGTCTTACCATTGTGAAGGAAGGAGACAAAGATACGCTAATCGTCGCTTCAATTCATTAGCGAGCCGCCTTAGATTAATCCAGTGGTGAAGGTGGTGAGGGGGGGGGGGGTCCTTACTGAGCACTGACGGGTTAATTTCCTGAGGGTTTACCTTAATTAATGTGTGGAGGTCATTAAGGCACGTGATACCTTGGGACCCGGAATCTCAAAGGTTCTTACGATAAATCTATGACGTAAAAAATAACCCGATTGACTTACGATACAAAGTTGGATTCTCAAAGGTTCGGACGATATATTTGAGGCATAAACACGTATCATAATTACCTCAATTAAGCTATGATACAAAGATAGATTCTCAAGGAATTTGAGATACGAAAACTCATCTAAATATCTCATTTAAGTTACAAAAACATAAACGGATTCTTAAAGGTACGTTACGATAATCTTTTACCGTAAATTTATGGAGAAAAAACACCTGTAACTCATTTAATCTACATCACCTAAATTGATTTATAAAGGTTCCTAATATGATAAAATCCATCTTGTAACCTTGATGTATGATGCCTTTGTCTCCCTCACATAGTAGGTCAGACAAGTTCACCATGACACCCAAATGGCGCTGAGAATATTCAAGGTATATATATTGTACATCTCCTTATCTTAAACCTAATAGCTGTACCTGTTTACCTCATTAACCTGTAACCCCCTTGTGTACGTGGGGGGGGGCTCTGTCCTGAATAAAATCATCTGACGTTAACCAAATAAAATATTAAAAGTGGCGTCCGTGTAGTGAAGGGGCAGGACACCAGAGCACAGTCATTAAGAGGAAAATGCTTAATGATATGTCTAAGGTCGCGAAGTTTAATGACCCCAAGGGTAATATATATCGTATTCTTAATTACTAAAGCGGTTTCATTTTAGTTTTTTTTGATAGGCGAATTAAGTACGTACTCTTAATTCATGGCCTGGGAAAAAAAATCAATTACTCACGACACATGAATCTTACTCTTGTTTTGTTTTTTTTACAAGTTTCACCTCGTCTCAGCTCCACCAGGGTGCTTCATCAGGGTGAAAAAATTTTTGGGGGATGATAATCGCTAATGAGATTTGTCGTTTGTATGTAAAAGTGTATTAATGAGTCGAGCGAAATATGTAAATTCACATCGACATATTTTACAGCTACACCAAGGTAATGCTTCACCGCCTCTGCCTGTAACATACTGCTGACGTGTTTTGCTATTTACTATCGAGTCTGGTGGCCATCTTGTTTGTTTTTCTTAACTTAGAGCTAACTTTACCAAGGCGTCATATATTATACTCAAACCACGTTTATAATATAGTTTGAATAAGATAATTGTTTGTAGACGACTATAATATATTTCTATACACCCTGATGTCCTATATAATGTGTTAGATATAGGAAACATAGGTAAAATAGTGATAAAGTGAGGTGAAGATTACTATACACTCTTACACACAACACAAACCTGTATACAGCAATAGCTCAGCAACACATACGTAGCCCCACTCACAACACCACCAACACATACACAATACAACTCATCACAACAACACCTTTAACACATACGTATCACAACAATAACACCATTAACACATCCGTAACACAACACCATTAACACATCCGTAACACAACATCATCAACACATACGTAACACAACACCATCAACACATCCGTAACACAACACCATCAACACATACGTAACACAACACCATCAACACATACGTAACACAACACCACCACCACATACCTTAACACAACAACACCCCCAACACAACAACACCACCAACACAACAACACCACCAACACACAACACCACCAACACAACTCACCACCAACACAACAACACCACCAACAACAACACCACCAACACAACAACACCACCAACACAACAACACCACCAACACAACAACACCACCAACACAACAACACCACCAACACAACAACACCACCAACACAACACCACCAAATACAACACCACCAACACAAACAACACCACCAACACAACAACACCACCAACACAAATAACACCACCAACACAACAACACCGCTAACACAACAACACCGCCAACATAAACAACACCGCCAACAAAACAACACCAACCAACACAACACCACCACAACAACACCACCAACACAACAACACCCAACAACACAACAACACCACCACAACACAACACCACCCAACACAACAACACCACCAACACAACAACACCACCAACACAACAACACCGCCAACACAACAACACCGCCAACACAACAACACCGCCAACACAACAACACCGCCAACACAACAACACCGCCAACACAACAACACCGCCAACACAACAACACCGCCAACACAAACAACAACGCCAACACAACAACACCGCCAACACAACAACACCGCCAACACAACAACACCACCCAACACAACATCACCACCAACACAACATCACCACCAACACAACAACCACCACCAACACAACAACACCACCAACACAACAACACCACACCAACACAAATAAACACCACCAACACAACACCACCACCAACACAACAACGCCACACCAGCAACAACGCCACCCAACACAACAACGCCACCAACACAACAACGCTACCAACACAACAACGCCACCAATACAACACACCACCACCAAGTGCCAACAACACCACCAACACAACAACACCACCAAATATCACCAGCACTACCAAACAAAACACCACCACCAACACACAACAACACAACCAACACAACAACACCACCAACACAACAACACCACCAACACAACAACACCACCCACCATAAACAACACCACCACCACAACAACACCACCAACACAAACAACAACACCACCAACACACCAACACTACCAACACACCAACACCACCAACACATCACCACCAACACATCAACAATTGCTCAACACAACAACACCGCCAACACAACAACAACACCGCCAACACAACAACACCGCCAACACAAATAACACCGCCAACACAACAACACCACCAACACAACAACACCACCAACATAACACCACCACCACAACAACACCACCAACACAACATCACCAATTCAACACAACAACACCACCAACACAACAACACCACCAACACAACAACACCACAACACAACAACACCACCAACACAACACCACCAACACAAATACACCACCAACACAACAACACCACCAACACAACAACACCACCAACACAACAACAATTCACCAACACAACATCACCACCAACACAACACCACCACCAAAACAACACCACCACCAACACAACAACAACACAACAACACCACCAACTCAACAACACCACCAACACAACAACGCCACCAACACAACAACACCACCAACACAACAACACCACCAATACAACACCACCACCAACAATAAACAACACCGCCAACACAACAACACCACCAACACACCAACACCACCAACACCAACACCACTACCAACACAACAACAATTCACCAACACAACAACACCACCAACACAACAACACCACCAAGCAACAACACAACAACACCACCAACACAACAACACCACCAACACAACAACACCACCAACACAACAACACCACCCAACACATCACCACCAACACAACAACACCACCAACACAACAACACCACCAACACAACACCACCAACACAACACCACCACCAACACAAACAACACCACCCAACACAACAACACCACCAACACACAACAACACCACCAACACAACAACAACACCACCAACACACCAACACCATCAACACACCAACACCACCAACACCACACCAACACATCACCACGAACACACAACAACACCACCAACACAACAACACTCACCAACACAACAACACCACCAACACAACAACACCACCAACACACCAACACCATCAACACACCAACACCACCACCACCAACACATCACCACCAACACAACAACACCACCAACACAACAACACCACCAACACAACAACACCACCAACACAAATACACCACCAACACCACAACACCACCAACACAACATCACCACCAACACAACAACAACACCACCAACACAACAACACCACCAACACAACATCACCACCAACACAACAACACCACCAACACATCACCACCAACACAACATCACCACCAACATGTCAACACCACCAACACAACATCACCACCAACACAACAACACCACCAACACAACAACACCAACAACACAACAACCCCACCAACACATCACCACCAACACAACAACACCACCAACACAACATCACCACCAACACAACAACAACACCAACAACACAACAACACCACCAACACAACATCACCACCAACACAACAACACCACCAACACAACATCACCACCAACACAACAACACCACCAACACAACAACACCACCAACACATCACCACCAACACAACATCACCACCAACACAACAACAACACCACCAACACATCACCACACCACCAACACAACATCACCACCAACACAACAACAACGCCAACACAACAACACTCCACTCAACACAACAACACCACCAACACAACATCACCACCACACAACAACACCACCAACACAAACAAACACCACCAACACAACATCACCACCAACACAACAACACCACCAACACAACATCACCACCAACAACACAACATCACCACCAACACAACAACACCACCAACACAACAACACCTTCACCAACACAACAACACCACCAACACAACAACACCACCAACACAACAACACCACCAACACAACAACACCACCAACACAACAACACCACCGCAACATAAACACTACC